TTAATAAGATGGAAAATTTGAATAGCACTCTTAATTTGGCCTAACTAATTTTGCATTTATAGAACTCTCTGCCCAACAGTAGTAGAATATACATTATTTTCAAGTACTCTAGGCACATTTATCAGGAGAGCCCATATTCTTTGCCTATTTAGTCTCAGTACTTTTAGAAGAATTTAAGTCATACAAAATATGTTCTCTAATGACTGTGAAATTAAATGGGAAACCAGGAATAGAAACATAGACAATCCCTCAATTATTTGTTAACTAAATAACTAGTAGGTCAAAGAAGAAATCGAAAGGGAAATTTGAAAGTACTTTGAACTATTAAGCATTTAAAACATATGAAAATTTATAGTACTAAAATGCCTGGAACAGAAAAGAAAAAAGGTCTCAAATCAGTGCCCACAATTTCCACCTTAAGAAACCAGGAAGAGGAAATGAATCCCAAATTAAGAAGATTGGAAGTAAAAAAAAAAAAAAAAAAGATAAGAGTAGAAATCAATGCAATGGAAAATAGAGAAAGTGAGAAGATCAATTAAATTGATAAAGCTGCAGCCAGAGTGGTCAACAACAACAAAAAAGACACCAATTACCAATATCAAGAATGAGAGAGATGACATCACTATGGATTCTACAGGTATTAAAAGGGTTATTAGTGCACATTGTAAACACCTTATGCCAATACAACCCCTTAGAGAAATGGAAAAATTTGAAAGGCAGAAATTACTAAAGTCTCTCAGACATTGTAGAAATGTTACAGACATTCTCACAAATAAAATTCTAGGCCAAGAAGACTTAACTGTCACTTCTACCGAATATTTGAGGAAGAAGCAATACCAGTTCTACACACTCTTTCAGAAAATTGAAACTGAGGGAGTACTTACTAATTCATTGTGCCCAGCATTACCCTGATTCCAAAACCAGACAGACATTACATGAAAAGAAAACTACAGACCAGTATCCCTCATGAACGCAAATGCATAAATTCTAAACAAAATTTAGTAAATCAAATGTGACGATATATGAAAAGGATAATACATCATGACTTGAAAAATCAATGTAATTTACCATATTCCAACGCTAAAAAAGAAAAGTCACCACAGTACATGCAGAAGAGCAAAATTCACCATCCATTTTTGATAAAATCTCAGCAAACTAGGCATGAAAGGGAATTTAATTTCTTCATCCTAGTAAAGAGCATCTGTAAAAACCCTACAGATTACATCATGCTTAGTAGTAAACTGAATGCTTTTCCCTGAGAATAGAAACAAGGCAAGGATATCCCCTCTCACCACTTCTATTCAGTATTCTGAATTCTGGTGATTTTTAGAAAATAAAGGACATTGATGTTGGAAAGGAAAAAGTGAAGCTGTATTAGCAGATGAGATGGTTGTCTATATAGAAATTGTGCTGGAATATATTATTAAAAAGCTATTAGAATCAATGAGTTTACAGTGTTGCAGGATACATGATAAATACACAAAACTCAGTTGTATTTCTATATATGTACTAACCATGAATAATTGGAAATTGGTTAAAAAAAACAAGTGCCAATTGTATACAGTAGCATCAGAAATATATATTTAGGGATGTGTGAGACCTATATACTGTACACTATTAAAACTCTGCTGACAAAACTTAAAGAATACCACAATAAATGGAGAGATAAATCATGTTCATTGAGCAGAAGACAATGTTAAGATGTCATTTCTCCCCATATTGGTCTGTAGATTCAATGCAATCTCATTCAGAATCCTAGCAGCCCTCCCCCCTCACCCCGCCCCCACTGTTTTGGGGGTAGAAATTGAAAACCTGGTCTGAAATTCAGATGGGAATTCAAAGGACTTACGATAGCCAAAACAACTTTGAAAGATAACAAAATTGGAAGACTTACTACCCAACTCGAAGACTATTTTAAGGCCATATTAATCAAGATGGTGTGGTATCACCATAACAATAAATAGATCGACTTGATGAAATAGAGGATCCAGGAATATATCTACACGTATATTGTCAATTTACTTCCAACGAAGGTGCAAAGGCGATTTGGTGGAAAAAGGGTAATCTTTTCTACAAATGGTGTTGGAGCAATTGGATAATCATAGACAAAAACTGAACTTCAGTCCACACCTGGCACCATATACAAAAAGTGATTCAAAGGGATCGTAGGTCTAAATGTAAATCTTAAAACTGTAACCCCTGTAGAAAGAAACATAGGAGGAAGTCTTTATGAGACTGGGATAGACCATAATTTCTTGTCTAAAGCATGGTCTGTAAAAGAAAAAGTTGATAAATTGGACTTTGTCAAAAGAAATTTTGTTCTTTGAAAGATATTTGTTTAAAAGGGTGAAAAGACAATCTACAGATGGGGTTAAAATATCGGCAAATTATATGCCTGATAGAGGACTTGTATTCAGAGTATATAAAGAGCTTGCCAAACTCAATAGTAAGTAAACAATCTAATGAAACAGTAAGCAACAGACTTGAAGAGACACTTTCACCAAAGAAGATAGAAATGGATGACAGATAAGTTCATAAAGATGTTCACGTCATTATTTATTGATTAGGGAAATGCAAATTAAGTATTTTTTTTTTAAAGTTTATTTATTTTGTGTGAGAGAGGGAGAGGGAGAACACGTGAGCTGGGGAAGGGCAGAGAGAGGATCTGTCAGTGCAGAGCCTGACTTGGGGCTTTGACTCATGAACAGTGAGATCATGACCTGAGCCCAGATAAAGAGTTGGACGCTTAACCAACTGAGCCACTCAGGTGCCCCGAGAAATGCAAATCAAAGCAGTAAGGAGACACTGCTGTGCACCTGTTAGAATGGCTGAGACCAGGGGCGCCTGGGTGGCGCAGTCGGTTAAGCGTCCGACTTCAGCCAGGTCACGATCTCGCGGTCCGGGAGTTCGAGCCCCGCGTCGGGCTCTGGGCTGATGGCTCAGAGCCTGGAGCCTGTTTCCGATTCTGTGTCTCCCTCTCTCTCTGCCCCTCCCCCGTTCATGCTCTGTCTCTCTCTGTCCCAAAAATAAATAAAAACGTTGAAAAAAAAATTAAAAAAAAAAAAAAAAAGAATGGCTGAGACTGAAAAGACTGTCTGTACCATATATATTTTTTTAAAGATTATTTAAATAGAGAGTGAGCATGTGTGGGAGCACAAGCAGGAGAGGGAAAGAGAGAGAAGAGAGAGAATCTTAACCAGGTTCCGCGATGCCAGCACAGAGCCTAACGTGGGGGGCTTGATCTCAGGCACCATGAGATCTTGACCTGAGCTGAAATCAAGAGTCGATGCTTCACCGACCTGAGCCCCCTAGTTGCCCCTGCCCACACCATATTTTGGTGAAAACAGAGGGTTTGTGTTTTGTTCATTACTGTGTTGCCAGTGCTTGGGACAGTGCCTTCTAAATGAGGTCGTTGAAAGAACATCAGTCGCCCATGTTCAAGAGCACTGAATTAGAGTTTCAGGCAATAGGTTGAGTTTATACTTAGCATAATTTTATCTTTAACTCTTGATTTTATAAATACCATAGGCATTATTTTGAAAATCCATTTTATTAAAAAAATTTTTTTTAAGTTTATTTGTTTAAGCAGTCTCTACACCAAACGTGGGGCTCAAACTCACGAGCTTGAGATCAAGAGCCACATGCTGTACTGACTGAGCTAGCCAGGTGCTCCTGAAAATCACTTTTAAATTTGAGTGTTTTACCTAAAAAAGATGTATAAAGGTGTAAGATATTTGGCCACATATAATCCCAAAGACAGACTTAAAGTCTTCTTTTTCTAAATCTGTTTTCATTATAGTTTCAGTAGCTTTTTATTGTGACTGTAGAAGAATACAGAATGTGGGGCTCCTGGTGGTTCAGTTGGTTAAGCATCTGACTCTTGATTTCAGCTCAGGTCATGATCTCAGGGTTATGAGATTGAGCCCCGAGTTGGGATCCTCTCTCTCCCTCTCTCCCTGCCCCTCCCCTACTCTCTCTCTCTCTCTCTCTCGCTCTGTCTCTCTCTCAAAATAGATAAATAAATAAACCTTAAAAAAAAAAAAAAAAAGAGTACAGAATGTGCCAAAACAGAAAACGGTGATAGGAGCTTGCCTACCTCTCTTACATTTTCTTCGCCACTTAGAATTGCTTACTAACACTTCCGTGTTGTGGTGGTTTTTAAAAATCCCAGGAATTAGCTCTGCCAGGGGCAGGCTCTGCAACCTTGGCAAGGTAGCTAGCCAGCCTCTGCCTCTGTCCTGTCGGGGTACTGCCGTGAGGGGTACGTGAGTTTGTATAATCCCAGTAAATCACTTAAAATAGTGCTTGGCACAGAAGGGCTCCGCAAATGCTAATTATTAATTTAGGGTTTTTATCAGACTTGACTTAAATGATATTATGCATGTAAAATGTCTGCTAGAGTACCTGGCATTTACTAAGTGTTCCGTGTAGACTAGTGCCTATAAATATTCAGGTGCCAGTGTGTCTGAAGAGACTGTATCTTTAGATCTCTGCATTTGTCATCTCTTTAGTGAATTTGTTTAGGACACAAGGAAGAATGTTTCTAGTTTCTGTGTTAGCTTCTCCTAACAGGTACAGGTTACAAAGTTGCACGAATTTTAAATATGAATTTATTGATGCTCCTGGGTGGCTCAGTCGGTTAAGCATCGGACTTGGGCTCAGGTCATGATCGCAGCTCGTTGAGTTGGAGCCCCACGTCGGGCTCTGTGCTGACAGCTCAGAGCCTGGAGCCTGCTTCGGATGCTGTGTCTCCTTCTCTCTCTGCCCCTCCCCCTCTTGTGTTCTGTGTCTCTCTCAAAAAAATAAACACTAAAACGTGTTTTTAAATATGAAATTATTTTCTCATCTCTAAGCGTAGGTGATTTGTTAGGCTACTCTCCAGGTTGATGTTTATTTTTATTAAAAAGTATGCATCTTTGACTAATATCATAATTTAGCGTAGTAATTTTTTTTTTAAAGGCCTGTCTCTAATCTTTCTTGTTTTTGTTCCCTCTTTATAGGTCTGTGGAATCTTGCTTCCCTCTTTTCCAACCTCTGTTTATTTGTGCTGATGCCCTTTGCCTTTTTCTTCCTGGAATCAGAGGGTTTTGCTGGCCTGAAAAAGGTAAAGTGAATCATGTTTTGGAATTAAATCTGTCAAATTAAGAAGCATGTGTCATTCATGTTAAACTTGTGAGAGTGGGCTTGAACAACCATTTGACTGAAATATAAAAAGTTTAATTAGTAATAATAGCAGTGTGTTATTAATATTAATAATGCTAACAATAGAATTAATAATATTGCATATTGAATGATCTTGTGTGTCCACAGGGAGGAAGTTGTCTTTTGACTTTTGGATGTTTTTATAGTATGTGCAAATGTGGTAGAATACTTGTTTGTAGGGAATAAAGCTGACAACATAGCTGTTCTTAAGCTGTCTTATTTAGTTTAAAGAATGACATAAGGGACGCCTGGGGGGCTCAGTCCGTTGGGCGTCCGATTTGAGCTCAGGTCATGATCTCGTGGTCTGTGAGTTCGAGCCCTGCGTCGGGCTCTGTGCTGACAGCTCAGAGCCTGAGCCTGCTTTGGATTCTGTGTCTCCCTCTCTCTCTCTGTCCCTCCCCCCGCTCATGCTCTGTCTCTCTCTGTCAAAAATATATAAACATTAAAAAAAAATAAAAAGGAATGACACGAAATCTTAAGATCTTAAAACATATCTTGATGTAAAAGTTCTTTCACTTCCAGTTTTTTTCAGAGAGTAGCATGCTATAAAATCCAACATGCTCCTTTAGATAGTCAAATTCTCATGACTGTGAGTTACTGATCTTAGTGAATGTGAGAGATTAGGAAAGAGCAAAACAAGAGACTTTGCATCTTTTTTTTTTTTTTTTTTTAATTTATTCATTTATTTTGAGAGAGAGAGAGAGCAAGCAGGGGAGGGGCAGAAAGAGAGGGGAGAGAGAGAATCCCAGGCGGGCTCCGCACTGTCAGCACAGAACCTGACACAGGGCTTCAACTCAAAAACCGTGAGATCATGACCTGAGCTGAAATCAAGAGTCAGATGCTTGACCAGTTGAGCTCCCCAGGCGCCCCAAGAGACTGCATCTTAAACAATCAGTCCAGACCGTATCGGTGGTAATAACTTCAGCTGTCTTTGAAAATAACATTTTAAAATGGAAAGAATGATATTTCTGTTTATAGCTTGTGGAGTTCTTTGCTATAGACATTTGGAATACAGTACAAAGATTTAAATAGTTAATACTTTTTGGTAAAAGTGAGTTCTTGCGTTACAGTTTATTTATAGACATGTTATGCCTTTTTAAGTGGTTAGTTCTGTTTGTATTGTGATAGATGAAGTGGAAGTATGCCTATGCATCTTGTTGTTGAACAATACTATAACGCCAATTAAATGAATTTGGCAAGGAAAGCCGTGAACTGAATTTTTATTACTTTTTATTTCATATAACTTTTTGTAGTTTCTTAGGAATGAAACTGTTTAGTCTAACATTTTGATGAGTCTTCTGATTTTATTTTATTTTATTTTTTTAATGTTTATTTATTTTTGAGACAGAGAGAGACAGAGCATGAACGGGGGAGGGCCAGAGAGAGGGAGACACAGAATCTGAAGCAGGCTCCCGGCTCTGAGCTGTCAGCCCAGAGCCCGACGCGGGGCTTGAACTTACGAACCGCGAGATCATGACCTGAGCCGAAGTCGAACGCTTAACCGACTGAGCCACCCAGGCGCCCCGAGTCTTCTGATTTTAAACCTTAAGTGCCACACTTTTTAGGTTTGTGTGTTGAAGGGTACCAGGAAAGAGTCACTGAGAGGCGATAAAGTGTCATTTTCGTGGATGCACCTTTCTGCTCTCCGGATGTTATTCCATACGTTAATAGTTTGAAGCTGCAAAGTCACAGTTGATTTCGTGTTTAGTAAAGGTACCGCGATCAGAACGGAATGTAAACTATTACGTTGAAGAGGGCTGGTAGGAATGAACATCGAGGGGAAGTGATGTCATTGAGACACTTGAGAAAGCGATTTCTGTATAATTTTAGAGCCAAAGCTTTTGATGGCTTTTCCTTCATTCAGCAGAGTTTTACTCAGCACCTACTGAGCAGTAGTCACTGTGCTACTACTGTAGGGCCTTGCTGGGGACAGGACCGAAAAGACAGGGCTTCTGCCTCCAAGGGATAGACAGAGGGAGGAAGAAACGGTGCAAACAAACAGATGCAGCCCCATGAACTTTTAGACCGCCAGCCGCAAAGGGAGGCGCCGAGAGGAGCGGGGTCTCCATTCGCCTCGGGAACTGGGGAAGGCTTTTGGCGGAGGAGTCAGCCCGCACTTGAGCTGAGTCTTGACGGACGAGCAGGCTGCTGCTGGAATGTGGCGCCCCTGGCTTGAGCAGAGGCACGCACTGTGACTGAATTGAGGGAATGCGGACACTTAGCTCAAGAATGGAGAGTTGGGGAGAGATCAGGGTGCGCGGAAGCTTGTTGGGGTCCAGTTCTGAAGGGCTCGGTTCTTCTGTCTGCCAGTTGGTTTGCATTTTGTGCTACAGATGACAGGGAGTTGGCAAAGAATTTTGAAAAAGATTTTCACGTCTACTGTTTTATTTAAGTATGGAGACAAATACACACGTCAGAGTTGAAACATATGTCACTGAGGGAAGGAGTACACGCACCACACGATGGGAAGCGCTGTGTTTTGTAGAGATGTCACCATACTGAATCGGTCACGCACCTCGTTCTGGTAACAGTGTTTCGGCGCGTGCCATTAACCTCGCTCTGTTGATGTTGCTGTAAATATGCAGATTGTTCTTTCTTCCCATCTCTGTCTCCTGTGTAATCTTGCCACGTACAAAAACAACTGGTAAAGCTCAGTGTTGAATGTATTTTCATATTTGGCATTATTGATGCCTTTACCTAATTTATACTTTCTATAAAACTAGTTGTCCATTACATAGGTTATTTTAAAAAACAGTGGGTAGTGTGGACAGACCCCTTGTCTCCAGATTATTTTCCTCCCTGGCTGAACTAACCAACTCAAAGAGGGTCGTGGCTAAAGTAATTGGAGCAGAATTACCAACTATCTCTAGAATTAGAAAAAACGGACACAAACCCCAGTGACATGTCACTGTTCTCTTGTTCCCTCTCACAAACTAAGGTCAGAGGGGAGAAGCAGCTTGAGGAAGGATTAAGAAGGCAACTGAAGATACTTCACACCTACAATTGTACAGCATTCTTTCCTCTAAGTTTTTTACTTCTGGTCTCCTATACACACTCAAAAGAATATTTTTTTCTAAGTGCATCTTTTTTTTTTTTTTTAATTTTTTTTTTTCAACATTTATTTATTTTTGGGACAGAGAGAGACAGAGCATGAACGGGGGAGGGGCAGAGAGAGAGGGAGACACAGAATCGGAAACAGGGTCCAGGCTCCGAGCCATCAGCCCAGAGCCCGACGCGGGGCTCGAACTCCCGGACCGCGAGATCGTGACCTGGTTGAAGTCGGACGCTTAACCGGCTGCGCCACCCAGGCGCCCCTCTAAGTGCATCTTTGACTACGTTAGTCTTCTCAGAATCCCTCATGATCACCAGCTCCGTTTTGTGATCTCAGCGGGGACTGATGTGCTGGACGTCTGTAGGGGACAGTCGACACGACCAGCAAACTCAGCAGAGGCTTGAAAGGAGAGCAAGGAGGCAGAGCTCGGATGGTTGGGTGCCATTTGTCTGACTTGGGTAGTTGGATCATGAATGGGAGTTGTAGGAACCAAATTAAGAAGTTGGTCCTTAAAGCTGTTAGAGAAGGGAGGGAGATGGGGTGTAGCCTGGGGGGAGGAAGAGACAGAATAATTCTGCTCTTCGTGCACCGAAGAGAAGGGGCCTGTGGAAGAGAGATTGCAGTAGAGAGGGCTAAAGTGAGCAGATTTAGATTTGCCCTAGGGCTCATTGTCTCAGCTGGTTTTCTCCTCTGGGCCTCAGGGTTTCTTTCTGTAAAATGGGTATAGTAATGATGGTTCCCTGACTGTATTATTTAAGGGATTAAATGAGGGGAGACTATTCATGTAAAACACATAACCCAGGATATGTTAGCCATTATTGCCATTATTCTAGAGCTTAATGCATTTCACTAATAAATGTTCTATGGAATATGGTACAGTCAGCTCTTAATTATTTACATATGATCTTGGGTGGTTTTAAGGTTACAGATTATTTTTCCCATTTTGAAATGGCCTGGACTAAAGCAAAATCAGACCTGCTTAAAGATAAGGTGCATTCTAGACTCTATTAGAATTGTTTAGAAACTTTAAAATTAAGGTAATTGTGTTGTTTTAAAGATTCGTATTTTTCAGTTTACAATCAATTACATGTGGGGCACCTGGGCGGCTCAGTCAGTTGGGCAACTAGCTGTTGATTTCGGCCTCAGGTTGTGATGTCACGGTTCATGAGATCGAGCCCCGTCTCAGACTCCGAGCTGACAGTGCAGAGCGTGCTTTGTATTTTCTCTCTCCCTCTCTGCCACTCCCCCGTCAAAATAAATAAACAAACTTAAAAAAATCAGTTGCGTGAAAACTGCAAGGGTTATTAGCATTGCACAGTTCAGCCTTCAATGTGTGCAGTATGTGTTTAAACCCTTCGTTATTAAGCCTTTCTGTAACATGAGATCATAGGAGTTTCCTAGTGCACGTTCTACATAACGTCTGTGGAGACCTGTCATTCTTTACACGGTGTTGTTGCCTGTGTCCCAGACTAACTGCTGCCTCACTGAAGCGAACGCATCACAGACGGTCACTGGCGTGTTTGACACAGCTGGCTAGCAAGTGTATTCCTTTGTGTGTGTGCGTATCCTCTAAAGCTCTGTGCTCATTGGTTATCCTGGACGCAGCTCGTTCCGAAGGGATATCAAAGAGGGCTTGGAAAACGCTTCTAATTGGTAGATTCAGCAGAGTGATTTGAGTCATGACAAACTTGAAATATGGTTAAGTTAAATTTCTTTTTTATTCCTTTGGCCACCCTCCTGGTGCTGTTTTACTATGTCTAAGTCTGGTGGAGTCCCCGAACGGCATATGGCTCCACCGTACTCCCATTGATTCCCCTGGGCAATCGATTTTAAAACCGCCCCTTGCATAT